GAGCTGATTATGCCTTTTCTTTGATGGTTATATACTTTGATGTAATCAAAGGAAAGTGAGTGAAGTGATTGGTTTTACAGCGTGATAGATAACGGCAATCGTATACGTGCGATTTGGAGAGCAGTATAAGGAGGGCAGGTGGCAAGGTTCCGAAGGCCAATCCACATACCATCTATTTTCCCTTTTGGATTTTCATCTTCTTCTTTTTTTCAATTTGATTTTCTCTCTGTTCCCCCCCCCCTTTTTTTTCTGTTTGGCATTTCGTTTTTCTTGTTATTGTGAAAAAAATAAAATAAAACCTCATCAACCCAACGACAATTGCCGTTGCATTTATTTAACGCCAAAGGTAATGGCATTCGCAGGGAAGTTTGTTATGGATTTTTGTAAATCTGATGATTGTTGAAACTCTTATCAACGGCTTCCCGCTCCTTCCATATTTGCCTCTGCTTCCATAGGTAACGTTAACCACTTTTTTTCCTGCTGTTTCGTATCGGATTTCGATGTACACTTTTTTCAATTTCATATCGGATTTGGATGTACACTTTTTAATTTCTTTGGATTTTTCTGTACTTTTTCTTGTTTGTTTCCTTTTCCTTTAAATACGCCGGAAGTTTTTGTTTTCATGGTATGAAGTATGAACCATGTGGTGTGTTTGTACACGAACTGTGATATGATGTTATTTTTACAGATATTGAATCAGGCATTGGTTTGATTGTATTGAACCACGATCCGGGTTTTCGTGATTAGTTCAGTGTCAAAATTTTCGTTTTCCGGCGCAAATGAATGCAGCGGTGCTTATAGCCCTTGCAGCAGCCATTGGCAACATGTTGCAAGGATGGGATAATGCCACCATTGCAGGTGATTTACTCCTTTTTAGTTTTTCGCTTGTTTCATGAACATCGAAATCTCAGTCATTTTGACTAAAATTGTCACTTTCTTATGCCAAAGATCTATTATAAAAGTTTGAGTTGATCTCTAATTTCCTTGATGTAACTGGTTAATTTGTAGATTGTAGAGGTTTTCAGATTCATTGAGCATATATCCTCCTTGTGTAACATGTTGCAGGTGCTGTTTTGTACATAAAGAAAGAGTTCAAATTGGAAACGGAACCGACTATTGAAGGCCTGATTGTAGCCATGTCTCTCATTGGAGCCACCTGCATTACTACATGCTCGGGAGGCATATCGGACTGGCTAGGCCGCCGCCCCATGCTGATAATCTCATCCGTTCTTTATTTTCTTAGTGGTCTTGTAATGGTATGGTCTCCTAATGTCTACATCTTGCTTTTGGCGAGACTTTTGGATGGATTTGGAATCGGTTTGGCCGTGACTTTGGTCCCGGTTTATATATCCGAAACTGCACCACCGGAAATAAGGGGGCTGCTGAATACCTTTCCACAGTTTACTGGTTCCATGGGAATGTTCTTTTCGTATTGCATGGTTTTCGGAATGTCGTTATCGCCGTCACCGAATTGGAGATTGATGCTTGGTGTTCTTTCTATTCCTTCCCTAGTATATTTTGTATTAGCTATATTCTTCTTGCCTGAATCACCGAGATGGCTCGTAAGTAAAGGGAGAATGGATGAGGCGAAACAAGTTTTGCAGAGGCTGCGTGGCAGGGAGGATGTTGCCGGTTAGTTCTTCTATGATGAATCTTATAATTTATCTGACAATAAAACCAGTCAAATGTTTTGATTGTGTACATATCATATAATTTGATCCTCCTTGGTAATTGATACACACCTTTTGAGACTATTTTCATTTTAGACAAGTTTTAAAGTAGAAATGACTGGCTGCCATGGGATTTACTATGATGAATATGATGCATAATGTGGTTGGTACTGATAATATTTAGATGACAGGTGAGATGGCTTTGTTAGTTGAGGGGCTTGGTGTTGGAGGTGAAACATCTATAGAAGAGTACATAATTGGCCCGGCAACTGATGATGTTGAAGATGACGATATATCTGCTGAGAAAGATCAAATCAAGTTATATGGACCTGAAGCAGGCCAGTCTTGGGTGGCCAGACCAGTCACTGGACAACATGGTAGTACTATTGGTCTTGCGTCTCGGCATGGAAGCATGCTTAGCCAGACTGGTCAGGGACTCGTGGATCCTCTTGTTACTCTCTTTGGAAGTGTCCACGAGAAGCTCCCTGAACAGGGAAGTATGCGTGGCACACTTTTTCCGAACTTCGGAAGCATGTTCAGCGTGGGAGGTAATCAAGTTAGACATGAAGAGTGGGATGAAGAGAATGCTGCCATGGAGGGAGAAGATTACGCACATGATGGTGCCGCTAATGATTCCGATGACAATTTGCGTAGTCCTTTGATCTCAAGGCAAGCAACCGGCATGGATAAGGACATTCTTCCAACAGTCCATGGAAGCCTTACTAACCTGAGACAAGGTAGTCTCATGCAATCAACTACAGGAGAACCGATTGGTAGCACGGGGATTGGTGGCGGTTGGCAGCTGGCATATAAATGGTCTGAAAAGGAAACCTCGGATGGGAAAAAGGAAGGGGGGTTTAAAAGAATTTATTTGCATCAAGAGAATGTACCCGCATCCAGGCGTGGCTCAATAATTTCTCTGCCTGGTGTTGATATCTCTGCTGAAAGTGAGTATGTCCAAGCTTCTGCTTTGGTAAGTCAGGCAGCTCTTTATTCCTCGGAGCTTGAGAAGCAGCATCCGGTCGGACCAGCTATGGTTCATCCGGTCGGACCAGCTATGGTTCATCCGGACGAAACCACAAAGGGACCAAGTTGGCATGATCTCTTCGAACCAGGAGTCAAGCATGCTTTGTTGGTAGGGGTGGGAATTCAAATACTTCAGCAGGTAATGTGAAGCACCTAACCAGATTCTTCTTCTTATCTACCTGTTCTCTTAAAAGAGGCTCAAATAACCCTTATAGCTTGAGCATGAAGAAATGTCAAGCATTCTCTATAATCTTCTCATTTTGCATCTTAAGCAGCTTTGCTATTGCTTTGCATATAGAAACATGTATTTCTAGCTATGAAATCAGAATCTTGTTCAAACCTTCAGAAATAACATTCATGGAATAGAATACATGGCACTGTTAGAAATAGTCATTCATTTCGCTTTTGTAACAGAATCTTGTCTAACCTCATACACTGTGCTCTTTGAAACGGCTCGATGCACTGCCATCAATGTGGTATAGTATTCTTGAAAAATTATCTTCCACATTTGGATGACTTGCTTATTGAGGATCCATGTTTCTCTGCTTTTAAAATGCAGTTCTCTGGTATAAATGGCGTTCTATACTACACTCCCCAGATTCTCGAACAGGCAGGAGTCGGGGTTCTTCTTTCTAACTTAGGCCTCACTTCAACTTCTGCTTCATTGCTTATCAGCGGCCTTACAACCTTATTGATGCTTCCAAGTATAGTTATCGCCATGCGGCTTATGGATCTTGCTGGTAGACGGTAAATTTCTTCCTTTAGTAGATTTCCTTGGATAACAAGTCTCACCCATAAGCATATAGATATCTGTTTCCATCATGGATTCTTATATTTTTGTGGTTTCATTAGACATATCGTGCCTACTATCTAACTTTGATCTGTTCTCGTCTTCGCTTCTGTCACAGGAGTTTGCTACTCAATACACTTCCTGTCCTGATAATCTCTCTCGTAATCTTAGTCATCGGAAGTGCCGTGAAAATGAGTAGCGTCGTGCACGCCTCAATCTCAACCGTTAGTGTCGTGCTCTACTTTTGTTTCTTCGTCATGGGATTCGGGCCAATTCCCAACATTCTGTGTTCCGAGATTTTCCCAACACGCGTCCGTGGCATCTGCATCGCTATATGCGCACTAACATTTTGGATCGGTGATATCATCGTCACTTATTCACTCCCGGTGCTGCTGAAATCAGTCGGTCTCGCTGGTGTCTTTGGCATGTACGCAGTCGTGTGTGTTGTAGCATGGGTGTTTGTCTTCTTAAAAGTTCCGGAAACCAAAGGCATGCCTCTTGAAGTCATTACAGAATTCTTCGCACTCGGTGCAAAGCAGGTTGAAGCTGCCAAGGAGAACTGAGTTTTGGGTTATTTCTTCAATTTTCATGGATATTGAAAGTTTTGGTTTTTGTTCAAATTTTCTCCTTTCCATTCAAGTAGGCAGATTTTCTAAATGACATTTAAATCTTCTGTTTTCGAATTGTTATTTGGATTATGAATACAATAACAAAATGTTGTTGCAAATCAAAGAGAATCCTATATGTTATTTTTCCTTAGAATCAAACTACTTTATGTTATATTTCTAAGTTTATGCTCCCCGATTCGAGTCCTAGTGAATCGGCTAGCACAGAAAAGTCTTCTACTTGCAAAAGTCGAAGCCGATTCTCTAGGACTGTGTCACGATGGAAGGGGAGTTAGGGTTTGAAGGTCTTAATTTGGGAAAAATCGAAGAAGGAAGTTGGGGAATCAGCAGTAGAAAGGGGGAGAGGAGAGAAAGGAATTAGGGATCGAAGGGGGATTAGGGATTGAAGTTTTATCTGAAGAGGGAAAGGCAGAAATAATGACAGGAGATGGGTCACACGGGATTGGGTATGGGTCAATAGGGTAACTGGGCTTTATTATTTAGACCCAATTAATATATCAGTAGGCTTATGAGTTAAAGGGTTGGGTAGGTCTGGATCTAAGTCAGAGGTGAGAGGGATGGAAGGGTGAGTCATCATTTTAGACGGTTATTTTGTTAGATTACTGAATTGCCAGCTAGAGGTACTGTATATATATAATTGTACCTAGAATCTTTGGGGATTTATCTTATGAAATGAAAATACACACTTTCTGTAACCTATTCTCTCTATTTCTTAAATCCCTAAAAAAATTCTTCTATCATTCTATCCTAAATCATAACAAATTGGTAATCAGAGATGAGTTCTGTGATCCAAACCATTTTTCACGCTGGGAAAGACAAGAAAGATGCAAAAGACTGGAACCATTGAGGTACCAGAACAAGCAGCAGAAGTGAAGGAAGAGACCTTACCATCTTGGTGGGTGGGGCAGAAAGCAGAGCTGGAGGGAAGGATACAGACCTTGGAGGAAGGAATGACTGAGAACAAGGGTTATTTGCAGAGAATCCTACAGCTGGTCAATCAAGCAGCTGAGGAAAAAGACTCACCTCAGTCAGCAAGGAGTCATCCACCAGCAGCTGAAAAGCAAAACAGAGGTGAAGGTAAAACACCATGTTTAGTTACAGTTCTTAGTGAGCATGAGAAGTATACTTTTAGACCTAATGAACCGGGGATATTAGCTGATAAACCTGCGGGGTCTACTGGTCTTCTACCTTTTAATCAGAAATTACAAGAAGAAAATATTATGGGCAGTTCTAGTGAGGTTAAAGTAGACAGTAAAGGTTTATTTGGGAGTTCAGGGCTTATGTTACCTCGACCTAAATTAGAACTACAGATGTTTGATGGTAGTAATCCCAGAGGATGGGTGAGAAAATGCCAAAAATACTTTAATCTTTTGGGAGTCCCTGAGGAACAAAAATTGGATATGGCTGCAATGTATTTGATGGGAAAGGCTGAGACATGGTTTGATGGCTATATTATGCAGAAGCATAGAGTGACTTGGCATGAATTTGAGGCTGATTTGTGTCATAGATTTTGTAACAGAAACTATTCAGATATCATTGAAGAATTTAATAAGTTAATGCAGAAGGGTAGTGTAGAAGAATATCAAGAAAAGTTTGAAGAGTTAAGACCCTATTTGCTACAACAACATATGCATTTAGGGGAAGATTATTTTGTCTCCAGTTTCATTAGTGGTCTGAAGAAGGAATTGAAACATAAGGTGAAGGTGTTGGAGCCCAAAAATCTATATGAGGCTTACAGGCAGGCCAAACTTTATGAGTTGGCTAATGAGATGGAAGGAAAGAAGTATAAATATTCTCAAAAACTTTTTCCTTATACTTCTTCAGGTGGTCAACAGAACAGTGGGACTAAAAGTTTGCAGCCTAAGACAACTCTTCCAAATTCAAATACAAGGTAGAGTTTACTGGAATATAGAAGAGCAAATAATCTGTGTTTTAAATATGGGGAAAAAATTGCTCCTGGACATCAGTGCAAAGTTAGACAGTTGAACAGTATGGAAGAGAAAGAAGATTCTGCTGATCAGTAATTGACAGAAAGAGAAAATGGAGAAGGGAATGATGTAGCTAAAGAAGCACTGGAAATTTCTATCAATGCTATTACAGGTAATGTGGGGCACACTACCTTGAGAATTCAGGGTTTTATCAGAGGAAAACCACTTAATGTGCTAATTGATAGTGGAAGCACACATAGTTTTGTGACTCCTAGGTGGGCCAAAGAAGGAGTGGAACTTGTTCAGACTCAACCATTAGTTATTACAGTAGCTAATGGGGAGAAGCTATTCAGTACTGCCAAAAGTAATCAAGTAAGTTGGAAGATGCAAGGCTATGAATTTCAGCATGATTTTAGAGTTTTGTCTTTAGGGGGCAGTGATATGGTACTGGGAGTGGACTGGATGGAAGAGTTTAGTCCTATAATGATGGATTTCAAAGCCAAGACAATTAGTTTTGAAAGGGATGGAAAGACTGTTATGATTAGAGAAACTCAGAAATTGCCCACCATCAAAACCATCTCAGGTGAAAAATTACAGAAGTTAGTGGAGAATGATACTGAAGTAAATGGAGAAATCTATTTGTTGAATGCTGAAATGGAGGAAAGTAAAATTCCTCTACCTTTACAAGATTTATTAGAAGAGTTCCAGGAAGTGTTTGAGGAACCTAAGGGGATGCCTCCTAGCAGAAGATATGATCATGCCATTGTTCTGAAACAGGGGACACAACCAGTCAATCTAAAACCCTATAGATTTGCTCATCATCACAAGACTGAAGTTGAAAAATAGATTGCACAAATGTTAGCCTCATCTATCATACAAGTAAGTAAGAGTCCTTTTGCTTCTCCTTGTTTACTTATTAGAAAAAAGGATGGAACTTGGAGGTTTTGTGTGGACTATAGGCAGCATAACTCTTATACAGTTAAGAATAAATTTCCTATTCCTATAGTAGAAGATTTATTAGATGAATTACATGGGGCTAAATTCTTTTCAAAGATTGATTTGAGATCTGGTTATTGGCAAATTCGGATTAAAGAGGAGGATGTTCATAAAACTGCTTTTAGAACTCATCAAGGGCACTATGAATTTAAAGTTATGCCTTTTGGCCTGACTAATGCCCCAGCTACTTTTCAAGCTTTGATGAATGACTTGTTTGGAGCATATTTTAGGAGGTTTGTTCTTGTGTTTTTTGATGATATTCTGATTTACAGTTCCAGTATGATAGAGCATAAAAATCATTTAAGAGTGTTGTTGGAAATTCTGCTGAAGAATAGTTTGTATGCCAAAAAGAGTAAATGCTTTTTTGGCCAACAGCAAGTAGAGTATTTGGGACATTTAATTTCAGCTAAGGGAGTAGCAACTGACCCTGAAAAAATAAAGGCTATGCAACAGTGGCCTTTACCTAAAAATCTAAAAGCTTTGAGAGGATTTTTGGGTTTGACAGGGTATTATAGAAAATTTATCAAAGGGTATGGAGAATTGAGTAAACCCTTGACTAATATGTTAAAGAATGAAGGATTTCATTGGTCTCCAGAGGCTAAATTATCTTTTGAGAATCTAAAAAGGGTTATGTGTGAAGCTCCAGTTTTGGCTTTACCAAATTTTGAGCAGAATTTTTTTTTGGAAATTGATGCTAGTTCCAGGGGCATTGGGGTTGTTTTATCTCAAGCAGGAATGCCTATAGCTTATTTAAGTAAGGCTTTGGGGCCAAAGCATGCAGACCTTTCTATCTATGGAAAGGAATACTTGGCCATTCTAATGGCAGTATCCCATTGGAGGCATTATTTGGAAAGTGGCTCATTTGTGATTAAAACAGATCATGAACCTCTAAAACACTTATTAGAACAAAAACTGACTACTACAATCCAAAAGAAAGGTCTGACTAAGTTACTTGGATTGGATTATACAATTTAGTACAGGAAAGGCAAAACAAATAAGGTGAAAGATGCACTTTCTAGACAGCTACTGGATTCTGGTGAATTTTTGCAAATGGGGGTTACTGTTGTAATTCCTACTTGGAGACATGATATTGAGCAGAGTTATGAAGGGGATCTACTAGCTCAAGAGAATATTCCTATTTTACTTATTCAGCCTGACAAGATTGAGAATTGGAAGAGAATTAAATGAGTTTTATACTTCAAAGACAGAATTTATGTGGGCAGCAAAGGAGATCTCAGGCAAAAAATTATGGTGGCTTCACATGATTCACCACAAGGGGGTCATTCAGGTATTCAAGCTACTTATCAGAGGGTTAAAGCTTATTTTTATTGGCCAAAGATGAAGCTTATGATTCAGGAATATCTACAACAATGTGAGGTTTGTCAGAGAACTAAAATTGAACACATTTCCAAGCCAGGTTTACTACAACCTATTCCAGTTCCAAATAATGCATGGGAAGTTATAACAATGGACTTTATTGAAGGGTTGCCACCTTCGACAAAGTACAATTGTATTTTGGTAGTGGTTGACAAATTTACTAAGTATGCTCATTTTATGCCACTGTCACATCCCTACACAGTGGTACAAGTTGCTAAGCTATATTTGGAACAGGTTTATAAGCTTCATGGTCCTCCTAAGATAGCTATTTCTGATCGGGACAAGTCTTTTACTAGTCTATTCTGGCAAGAGCTACTTAAATAATTGGGGACAACTAAACTTTTTAGTACTGCTTATCATCCAGAGACGGATGGCAAACTGAGAGACTCAACCAGTGTTTAGAACAATATCTCAGATGTATGTGTTTTTTAAAACCTACATCTTGGTCAAAGTGGTTAGCCCAAGCAGAATGCTGGTATAACACTAATTACCACTCTGCTATCCAAATGACCCCATTTGAAGCCTTATATGGTTATAAGGCACCTCTTGTAACACCCCCAACCCGTACCCGACCCGGATACGAGTCCGACGTGTCACATTGACTTTTCAAATCTTGACTCTTAAGAAAAATCCCGGGAAATTTAAAACTTTATTTAAAACAAAATACAGACTTGATCAGAGTGCTCGTACTTAATGACTTATTACATGCCAACACTTTATACATAACCAAATATATACTTTGTCAAATACTTCTGATCTGATCTTTTAGTAGTGATACTGTCTTTGCCACTTCTATTCTTTCACTTCTCGTTCTTGGTACCTACGTGTAAATCACTTACACGCTAAGTCATAGACTTAGTGAGGCATATAAAACATATAATATAACCATATATCATTTCATATAAATAAAAGACATACATATACAAACACTATCAATAATCCTTTCCACTTACCATATACTCATCATATAACACATATAATTCATGTATGTGCATTCATATCATTGAATCACTACATATCAATATGCATGAATCTATGGTATGATAACAATATACAATCAGGTCATGCACACATGCAACTTACCTTCTTTTATCACTTTCACTTTCATTTGTCTTTCAATTTCATTGCTCATGTATATTATTGAGAATAGAGGTATGTGAGTACATTGAGGTTGTGCACTAATGTTGTCACCACAGCTCGTATAAATGTCCCGAATGACCTATCCAGAGGTCACACAGACCCCGGTAACTATCCAGAGGTCATAAAGAACCTCGGCAACTGTCCATAGGTCCCAAAGAACCTAGGTAAACTGTCCATATGTTCCTTAGAACATAGGTATACTGTCCATATGTCTCGAAAGACATAGGTAAAACCCTCGACTCTTGGCATGCCAACTATACCTATAGCTCTCGTATCATATACTATGGGCATTTATTTATACATTTCGTATCACTTGTTCTTTCTCTTCTGTCACATACCACATGTATGTGTAACCATATATCTCATATCATATCACATGTATTATATATATATACATGTATTCATGTAAATCATTTCATGTAATTCATATCACATATATCACATGTGCATATAAGCTTATAGCTTCTTTCACATATACATGTAGTCACATAGCTTCTTTCATGTAACCATGCATG